TTGGCGAGTCGCATAGACTTCCTCGGGCAGCACTGTCTTTGAAGTTTTAAATATAATTTCCAGCAAAAGTATCGGATTAAGAGCGGGAAAGATACAGTTTCCATCCCTCAAGTTTGCATCGATTTCACATTTGGTCCCTCATGTTCACAAAAAACACATTTGGTCCCTCACGTTTCAGAAATTCAACATTTTTACTCATTTCCGTCAATACTCCGTTAGTACTAACGGAATCACGTATGTGCCCCATCACTGTCTGTTAAGACAGACTAACGGTAAATTGACGAAAAGGGCCGAAAGTGTTAAATTATCAAACCATGAGGTACCAAATGTGTTATTTTGTGAACATGGGGATCAAATATGAAATCAGTGCAAACTTAAGGGATGAAAACTGTAATTTTCCCGATTAAGAGCTCACAATTGGCCAGAAGACAATCTTCTTTAATTAAAAAAAAAAAAACATGAATAAGAAATCATAAAATATACTAACCATTTCTCGAGTTTACAATTAGGGGCACAACTGTGATTAAGAAACCGCGAAGCGTTTCCCTTAAACGTTGCGTCGATCACAAAATCTTTATTAATTTCGCACATGTAGAAGTTCTTAGCATCTTGATCTTTCATATCCCACAGCCTTCTTTCACACATGACATCATCAATTACTGTAATACGAAAAAAATGCAACTAATTAGACTTGCAAAATATCACATCGATAAAAAACTCGAATTTCAATGTAATCGTGTAGAAGATACACTAAGTTAATGATTTAAACATGATTTAGAACATCTTAATCATAATTATATAAACATGTATGTATGCATTTCAATTATTAAATTTTTATAAGTACCTATATAAAATTCAAAACCAGTGAAAGAATATATATAATTACGACTTTAGTCAGTTAACTACCAGCGATCTTTATCAATTACGTGCTATTAATTATCCTTTCAAGCAACTGTTCTTACAAGAAAACTAGTCGCATTATCTTTTAATAAATGTAACAAAAACAAAGAGAGTACAGTTAAACCTCTATAAATTAATACAGTTGGCACTAACAAAATTTTATTAATTTGATAAATATTAAATTATCGAACTAATATTTTTTTACCAAGTCGGGACCAGAAGAAGCTATTATTAAATCGAGGTTATTAATTTATCAAGTATTAATTTATCGATCATGCAGGATTACCTTCTCCGACATATTCTACGATAAAATCTCCTTTGCTGATTGGTTCAGCAGAAACTACACCCCAACCACAGCTTTCTGTCTGAAAAATCGCCATACAGTGTCTGAAAATCACCATACAAAAAGGAAGGACTATATTTCACAAACATAATAATCGAACATAATTTTACCTTGACAATACGGATCTTTTTCATTTTCTGAAAGGGTCGATTCGCACAATTTTTCGAGCAACGGCAAGCTTTTGAACAGCTGATACACTGAACCCTGTTACATTTAAAAAACGAAACCAATAGCAAAAGCAAATCAACGTAGCTAAATTCGTATACCTTTGATAAAAAGTAATATATAATATAATACCTGCATACACAACCATCGTTGCATTCTGTAGAGGTACAGTTCGTGCACCCGATATCAGCATCGACGTTACTACGCTTTCTCTTGACGAGGTACACGTCTAATTGGAGTTAAGGTTGTAATAAAAAAGGTAGTTATTTATACACATTACAGTTAAAACTCGTTTAGCATGACAGAAGTTTTAAATAGTAGCTACTTTCTTTTCAAAGCTATAATTTTTTTCGGAATTGACGTATCAAATATTCAAAGGATACTACGCTTGATGTGAACGTACGGGTGTGGCTCCACCTTAGATTCTGTCTGGTCTTTCCAGTTAATGTCGATTTTGAACTCTTCCTCGTCGTACGGGAGAGGCAAGAGAGAGAATATGTCCTGAAAATTCATTAAAAACATTAATTGGTGATATTTAATAACCAAAATAAATAAATTACGTAATCAGAGGTGAAAGTCGTGTCAACACTTCAGAGTTCAAATTCGTTACGAAAGTAATCTAGAAACTCTTTTGAAGCATTACTTTGTCTCACCTATATGTAATATATATATATATATATATATATATATATATATATATATAATCAAAATCTAACCTTAATGCTGTTTGCCGAAACGTCACACTGCATAGAAGAAGAAAAAAAAAGTTGTCAACCGACATATTCAGTAGAATGTCTGAATAAAGCTAATAGCATATGCGATAATAATAATCAATGGGTTACGAAATCCATAATTATAAGTTAATCGTCATTAAGCTCATCTTGCATGAAATAGTCGAATCTATAAGCAAATCAGATTTTATAGCGATGACCGACCACCATATGCAATGTAAAATGCAGCCTATTGGACAGTAACCTGATTTTACAAACTATACATATCTGTGAGCCCGAAAAATCGCGCTGATTGAAATCAATCATACAATTATCGATCAATATAGATCACCATGTTTAAGCTTTCCGATTACTTTACCAAGTAGCAAGCTTTCAGCTAGAATTAATCTGCATGTGTGTTTGTGTTACGAGTGCGTGCGTGCATGTGAGTGACGTGCATGCATGCACGTAAACTTAGCGGTGGTCCTACATGGTGCACTTAATATATCAATTTTATTATTATCTTCTAGACCATTCAAAAGATATTAAATATTCATACTATTGCAATAATTCAACATTATGATTAGATATTACGATTCTTGAGTATCTTATACAATCTAACTAAGTATTCCAGATTCAATAAATTAATAATAATTAATTCATCGATTGGTATTTTGAGTTGACCACGGATACTATCAGCATGGAAGGTCCAATTAGAAGTGTACTAAGGGCGGCCCTTGGTATTTGAGTCTCACATTTGGGTCCCCACCCCGTGTGCATGGATCAATCTATTTACTAGAATAGCTCTAAGAAAATGCCGGTTGTGCAAATCGAGATTTACTAAAACTATAATCAATGCGTTCAAGAAAAGTTCAAAAACGTAAAATGACTTAAAACTAGAAGTTTTCTACAAAAGCAACCATAATTAAACGATCCCGAAAAGTTATAACACATGATGACTACTTATCCGCCAACCCATACTCGAACAAAAGATCAACAAGTTAATCAAAACATGAAAAATGAATAATAAACAACTAAGGCAATGTTTAGAAGCGATTTTGGGCTTATTTTCATTTCATTTGGGGAAAGTTGGGAGAAGAATTTAAGAATGAATGTTTACATTTTGGGAGGAGACAGTGTTATCATGTCTAAATGTGTTGGAAAAAATGTATAGAAGAAGAATTTGAATAATAAAGCGATATTTGTTTGTGTTTTAGTGAAGACATTTTTTTTCGGTAGCAGTCAAATCATGTTTGAAGGAGAGAGAAACTTTTGGAATTGTTTTGATGAAATCTTTTGAAAAGCTTAACAAACATGAATTCGTTTAGGGGAAATAGAGAAAAGAAAATGAAAACGGTACCAAACATTGCCTAAGCTTTTGGAATATAATATTAGTTTAATCATTAGTCCATACAAGGACACATATATAAAACATGGAGAAATTAAGTCCGTGAGGAAATGTAAAGATGCTCAAGATCTTGGACGAAGAAGTGAAGTGAAGTGAAGTGAAATAAAACTTACATTTAGCATGTCGTATAAGGAAGTTTGATTAGGTGGAGTAATATCCAATTTTCTAACGATGGTTAATAATAGGTCGAGTGTTGATTAACCATGAACAATTTTGTTTCACGCCTCTCGACTTTCACCTCCATAACCGATGTTTCCGAAAATAATTTCCATATTTTCCAATATTAGGCCGAGCGGAAATATAATTATCTTTCATGTACACCAAAATAAAGAGTTTGAGTCGAGCTCTCGACTTATTTGGAGGGCTCAAGATCAAATAAATTTATATGACCTCGAGCCTAAACTCAACAAGACTATATTATGGATATGACTCCAAATGGGAATGATTTGAAATCCAAACGATTGCCCAAAAATTAACTTCAAATGAGAGTCACGGATTTGAAATTCAATGTCGAATGACTCAATCCAAAATGCGACATTAGTTAATTCGGAGAACTCCTCCTATAGAATGCATATATACCCAACCAAAAGCTTGTATGATACACTGATTGAAATATTTGCATTTTACTATATCTATAAAACGAAAATAATTATTTAAAAAAAAAAAGAATAATAATCAGTTGCTTACAGAAAACACATTAAATTACTTTAATTTTCGAACATTTATTACCTTAATATTGGGATAAACCTCTTCCGGATGAACTAGTTAGCAATTTTTGTAAACAAGGAAACTTTATTCAACATCCAAAAAAGATATATATAAAAAAAAAAAAAAAAAAAAAAAAAAAAG